ATGTCTGTTTTCAAAGATGATAATAATTGTCTGATGTATTTTGGTGCTCCTTCGTTTGGTGAGTATATGTTAATGAGTGTTACTTCTTCTTGAAGTATTATCCCCTTGATCATTATGTAGTGACTGTTGGGGTCTCTTTTTACCTTTTTTTAGTTTGAAGTCTGTTTTATCTGATATAAGTATTGCTGTTCCTGCTCTTTTTTGGTCCATTCGCTTGTAGGATTGTTTTCCATCCTTTAACTTTGAGTCTATTTTTATCTTTTGTATTAAATGTGTTTCCTGGAGATAGCAAAAGGTTGGGTTTTGTTTCTTAATCCAGCCTGCAACTCTGTGTCTTTTTATTTAAGAGTTTAGTCCATTTACATTTAGAGTTAATATTGATATGTTAGCATCTGTTTTTGCCATTGTGTTTGTCTTTCCTCTGGTTTTATTTATTTATTGTTTTAATAACTATTTTTTTGGGGGGGCCTTCTTTTGTTGTTATTCATCCCTTTGTTGGTTCTGGTTTTAGGACTCCTTATAGTATTTTTTGGAGTGGGGGTTTAGTCATAATGAAATTCCAGAGTTTCTGTTTGTCTGGGAAGGTCCTTATTCTTTCTTCATAGAGGAAGGAAAGCTTTGCGGGATAGAGTATTCTTGGTTGGCATTTGTTGTCTTGGAGTCTGTGGTCTATGTCCCTCCACTTTCTCCTTACCCATAGTGTTTCTTCGGAGAAGTCTAATGTCAATCTGATTGGTTTTCCTTTGAATGTTATCTGTTTCTTCCCTCTTGTCAGCCTATTATGTGTCTTGCTGTATTTTTCCTTTCATCATGGAAATTTGGTGTTCTTCTTGTTTCTTGTATGTCTATTTTCAGCTCCTTCATATTTGGGAAGTTCTCTTCAATTATTTCCTTGAATATTTTCTCTCTTCCTACATCTCTCTCCTCTCCTTCTAGGATTCCTATAACTCTTATATTTCCTTTCCTCAAGGAGTCAGATAGTTCCCAAATTCTTTCTTTGGTCTTTTTCCTTTCTACTTCTCTTTCCTTTACTGTTTTGGTTCTTTTTATTTCTGTGTCTTCAAGAGTACTTATTTGTTCTTCCATTTCATCTATTCTGCTTTCATTGCTTTTCCCAGAGTTCTTTAGCATCTCCATTAATTCTTTGATCTCCTGCATTTATTTTACTTCCCTCTTTAGGGACTCAATTTCATTCTTCTGATCGTTGATTATTTTTTCCTTATCATTGTTTTCCCTTATGACTTCTGTCATTTTTTTAATCAAGGCAATTTTAAATTCTCTTCCTGGAAGCCTCAGAAGTTCTTCCAAGTCACTGTCGTTGCCATCTGGTGAGTGGTTTTCTTTTTGTGGTGTGTCTTTCTCCTGAGGAGTTGCTAGGTTGCATGTAGTTTTTCTTCTCCCTGCAATCTGTCTTCTAATTGGCCGTATGCGTTGGGACACTGTGCCGCTGGTACTGGCCGGCATCTTTTTGGTGTGCTCTTTGTGGGGTTTTGGAAACTGGTGGTCCAAACGAGTCAAATACTGTTATGCCAGAATTCTAGTGAGGCAGTGGTACTTTGAGTATGTTAATGGTCTCTGTCACAGAATATTTCCTCCTTCTGTGTTTAATTACAAAGGTGTGTCTTGAAGTCCCACAAACTTCCCTAGAAGTAGGGCAGCTGGATTGCACTCTGGGTTCCAAAAAAACTGGATCCCCCTCTGGGCTCTAACTTCCTGCCAGGCAGGACCAGGTTTGTGGGGGCCTTCAGCTCACCTCTGACTGTGCAGGGAACCTTCCACCTCTGGCTCTGCTGAGAGCCTTCTGCTGGTTTCAAGCAGTCTGTTCTAAAAAGGTGATGCGGGTACTCACTCCCCTGTGTGCCTGGTCTGCCCCCGGCCTTGGGTGCCAGCCCCACCTCTCGGCTTGAACTGCTGGCCAGAAGGGGCCTGTCATGGGTCCATAATATTATTTTAAATATTTGATGGTATTTCATTTTCCCATCTTTTTCGATTTTTTGCTTTTTCATTTATCTGCTTCTTTTTTGCTTGAATAGTATTATGATTCCACTTGATCTACTCCCCCTTTACTTTGCTTACAAACTGTAACTTGTCATAATCTTATTGTAATTCACAATTTAAATTAGGCTATATGACAACATGTCACATCAGAGTATTAGTCCCTTGAACAGGTTGCCATCACTTCTTTTCATTCATTTTGCTACAATTGTCAGCAGTTTACTTTTACCAGCTTTATAAATTCCACCCTACATGGTCAGTGCATTTTGTTTGAGAGAGGGATGTTCTTTTCAATAGATTTCAATATTAGTATCTTGTCTCTGTGGTTGCACTTCTGATACTTTTCATTCCTTCTTGAAGATTCAGATTCTCTCTGGTATTATTCTTTTTTTTTTTTTTACAAGTTATTTATTTATGCATACAAGAACTGGGGGAACAGGCCAGAGTTCTGGGGGGATGGAGAGGATTCACCAGAGACAGAGTGGGGAGTAGAATAGGCAGATCGATTGAAATACACTGCTGAGGCAGTAGCAGATGAGCCAAGAGAGGTCTGCTGCACCATGTGGGCCACCCACATGGCTGGGGATCGAACTCATTCTGCAGAGGCTGGGGATAGCTTCATAATGCTGTGTCTTAATCCCTTGCACCACAAGGAAGGACCCTGATATTATTCCCTCTGCTTGAGGAGGTTCACTACTGTTTTCTGTCTTATTACTCTGCTATGAGCAAACCCTGTCCTTTCATTATGGAAAACAAAACAACTTGGTGAACATTTAGATTTTTTCTTCCTTTTCATTTTAGAGATGTTAATCACCATCCACTCACCTGCATTCTTCTCATGAGAAATCTGCTTCATCCTCATGCTGTCCCACTTCCATAATGTCCCTTAGCTCTGAAGACTTTTAACACTGTCTCTTCCACTGTTCTAAACAATGCTGTTGTTCTCTAGTGGCATTTATTATTCTTGTTGTTTACTGAGTTTTGGAAATGGTGGGTTCGAAACTCACATTCTACTGTGCTCATTCGTAGAATATGCCTGAATATTTTTATGTCCCTACTCTCAGGAACAGATGGGAATCATCATAATCTTTTACTTGGTTTCCTTATCTACAAATTAGAGCAGCTGGGTGATTTCAAGACCACTTCGGGATCCTTGATATTTTTTCTTATTAATTAGAACCTTATTTTCTTAATTCTTTCCAGGAACGTTTTGATTGATGCCAGGTTTGGTGAATGAGTCCGTGTATGGGACTGGAGGTCTGTGTTCATTTCTAAGCATTTTAAATATCTCTAATCTGTAAAATGACTGGGCACAGTTCAATCTTTGCTCAATTTCCTTTTATACTTTCTAGAAGGCCCAGGAATGGCTGCAAGTTTGGACACATTATCCAACCACTGAGACAAAGCTCTCTGGGAAGGAAAACTGATGTCTTAATAGGAGCTTCCCTCTCTAGACTGGGCCAAAGCATCTATGATGGGGTGTGTGTATGTATTTGTATATGTGTGCGTGTGTGTGTTTGCATGTGTGTGAGTGTGTGTGTGTGTGTGTGTTTGAGTGTGAGAGAGCTCCTTCTGTGCCTCAGAGACCCATTCCTCTAGCCCATCCTCATCCTCCCACATACCTGTGCTCCCCAGTGCTCTTGGGAATCATGCACAGCTCAGGGTTCTCTCTGAACTCTCTCTTCTCTGTACCTTCTGGGCCCGCAATCCCACAACTACTGTGGGAAGAAAGCACATGGCAGCCTCGCCCTGTGGTCTTGATGTCATTTTGGAGTTGCTGGGTTTGGAGAGGGGGGTCTTTGGGTTACTCTGGGAAAGTTTTCTCCAGAGGTCCCATTTCATTGGCACATGACACACTTCTCTATGTGTTTGCTAGACACAGATTTATTAGTTATATGTTATTATAAAAGGGAGAGAACAGGCCTCCCTAGTGGTGCAGGTGGTTGAGTGCTGCACTGTGAAGCTGACTGCAGCCTCTGCAGCGCCACTTCAATTCCCGCCATCCGGCGAGGGTCCCACATGGCTCAGCAGAACTCTCTCCTGTCTCGCCTGCTGCTCCTCTCAGCAGGGTATTTCGTCAGTCTGTCTGCTCTGTCTCTGGTGAATCCTCTCACCCTCACATGCATCTGGCCTGTACCCCAGTACTTGTATAAATAAATAAATCTTTAAAATTGTATATATATGAAAAATAAATAAAATAAAAGGGAGAGAACAATACAGGCACATTTATAGACATAAGCATGCAGCAAGAGCAGACCTAAAGAGGTGAGTTTGCTAAGAGAGAGGCCTGCATGGTCACAAGCAAGTGCCCTTGAGGAGAGCTGCCTCTGCTGAGGGAGGTCAGTGAAAAGGAGCCCTGGCCTGGTACAGGTCATGGGCAGGCAGGAAGGTTGTTGCCCTGTGGAGGAAGAGAGTGGGTGAGAAGCAGCAGCTCAATAGGCACAGGTGGATGCTGCCATATGCCAGTGCAGAGACTGCAATGATATAGTCTTCTCTTTGGGGGGGGGCTCACTCCTTTGTGGACTGGTTTGTTTGCTGTTGATTTTGAATAACTACTTAGTATTTGAAAGGACCACAGATTCTACAATGACCTCAATCTCCACATCTTCACCTTCAGGTTCTGTGCTCCTGACATGCCCTACAGCAGTCTGATACCTGCTTAGGGTTTGTGCTTTGTGATCTAGGCCAGGGTGTCTAAGGATCTCAGTTCCTATATCTGGGTTAATGGATATATTAATACCTTCCATCCCCACCTCTCTCTCATGTGAGAGCAGGTTTCTGATCTTGGGGTGCCTCCTTTCTAGTTTTTCTATCCTTATCCTCCCAGTCTCACCCTCCTGACCTGCCTGGTGCTGACACTGCCTGGAGGGGTGGGGACCCAAGGGAGCTCAGATATGGGACACAGGTGTGAGCTGCTTATGGCCATTTATCCATCCGCAAGGGGCTAGAGGAGACTGTGAGGTCAACGGGGAGAGGTTTATGTCTCACTTCCCCATGGCTCCGTGTCACTGTGGATGTTTACTATTGCTGTCCCACACCTGACAGTAATAGTCAGCCTCGTCCTCGGCCTGGGTCCCGCTGATGGTCAGGGTGGCCGTGTTCCCCGAGTTGGAGCCAGAGAACCGGTCAGGGATCCCTGAGGGCCGCTTGTTGTTATCATAAATAACAGACACAGGGGCCTGGCCTGGCTTCTGCTGGTACCAGCCAGCGTATTTATTACCAATGTTGTCTCCCTGACACGTCATCCTGGCCGTCTCTCCCAGAGACACCGACACTGAGGAAGGCTGAGTCAGCTCATAGGAGACCACAGGGCCTGCAGGGAGAAAAGGAGACAGCGGGTTTACATGCAGGACCCATTCCGAGAGCACCCCCCTTTCCCTGGCCTGGTCGAGACCCGATGGCTTCAGTGTCCCCATGGATGCCCGTTCACTCGTTGTCATCTGCTGCTTCCCATAAGCCTGCTTAGATATGCCATTTTGGACAAATGAATGAATTCCTCGCCCCCTCTTTTCTTGGCAAGCACAGCCCCTCAGGCTCACACCAATAAGCAGTACAGTGGGGGGGAATACCCAAACCAGCCCCCATCCTGAGAAGATCATGAGTGCCCTGCCCCCACAGGCAGCCCCTGCTGAGCTCAGAGTCAGAACCAGTCTTGTCCCAGAGCCTTGAAGCTGGGGGGCAGTGAGTCTGGCTCAGCACCTGTGAAGTGAGCCAGGAGGCCCAGGAGGAGAGGGGTCCAGGCCATGGTGGGGTCCCTGATCCTGTTCCCTAGCCTGAGACTAGGCAAGATACCCCCCAGGCCTGTCTTATCCCCTTGCTAGAGAGAGCAGCTGCTTATGCAAATCAGCTGGGGGCCCAGGCTGCTGCTTGGGGAGTTTTGTGGTTTCAACCCCCAGACCAGGGAGTAGAGGGGTATTTTCTAGTGTCCCCACCCTCACCTCAGATATCCTCCTTCTCTGCTGGTCTCATGGTCTCCTTGAATCTCCTCCCCTAGACTCTGTCCTGGCCTCTCCCTGGACAGGGCCTTCTACAGCAGATTCCATGGAAGCCTATGTGTTCTGATCCTGTTTTACAGGTGACATACCCAAGCTTAGATAGATCCAGATCCTCCTCCTGTCCTCACAGCTTCTCAGCAGCGGATCCTGCATAAAATCCCTCACTTGCCCACCTAGAAATTTTTGAGGCCTGTCATTTCTTCTTTTTTGAGCTACTGGGACAGGTACAGGGGCTGTACCTCAGTATCCTCCATGTGCACTCAGGTCACATAAAGATCACGGGGTCCAGAAATGCTGCGTGAGAGTGAGGACTGGAAAGGACTCTAAGAGCACTGCCCCTGAGAGTTCACGCTAATTGTGTCTTGTTGATGAGGTGAGGTATTAAGTAACAAGCTGTCTTCTTTTATAATCAAGTCAACATAAGTTTATCAGACACCCGCTGTATCCAGGCACTCACCCAGGGCCTGGACTGTGAGGCCACTTTAGCAGGACTGGGCTGTGTGTGAAGGAACAGAATTATCAGAATTAAGAGCCAGAAAAGCAAGGCGATTTCTAAAAGCCTCAGATCAGGGGCCTTGGAGTCTGTCATGAGAACATGATTACGAAGAGAGACACTGTAGAAAAAAGACCCCTGTTCACTCAGGTGTTAGCTCCTGGTGACTGATGCTCCCCATGTCACAAGCTGCAGGGAGGCTTTAACCCTGGTGAGGGTGGCTCTCTGCTGCCCCCTGGTGGCTGCCTAAACTGTGTGCAGCAGGCACAGAGGCTTCATTTGCTCAGGTTGGGATTCAGAAGCTGATTTAGGAGGTAATTCCCTGAGCTATGAAGTGCTGGCCCACAGGTGAATTACCCTCTCTATTTGGCCCGTTTTCTTCAAGACTAGGCATAGGGCCTTCGGAGGGTCACAGCTGAAAACAAACATGAACAGCGCCATTTGATAGAGGAAGAGGGTGTGCCCACCTGAGACACCCAGTGCATACCCATGAGGTTGTGAATGGTCACAGGATTACAATGACGTTTTGGTGTGGGGAGACTTGGGGATGGTGCCTGCTGTGTGCAGTGCTATCATGGAGCCATGGTGATGATGCACCCAAGACAGAGACAGAGGAACATTTCCTTAGTAATGCCCATGACAGCCACTTTGCTCTTGCATACATTCTGTCCTGGGCATACGGCATGAGCTCATACCCTCTCTGTTCCTAGGAGTCTTCCATACTGTGGGTGGGGCACACTTCAGCTGGGCTCCGCTCTGGCAGGCCTGCCCAGAGAGATTTTCCAGGTAATCATCAGGATCTCCGGCACAGGCACACTGGTATAGGGGGCCTCTGTGTCTAGGCTGCTGGGTGGGGCAGATGTGACCCATAAATTCAGACCTGGGCCCCTCCCAGATGACCTGGGGGCTGAAGACAAAGTAATGGTTACTATTTCCCTACCTGCACCTTTACCATCCTGGCATCTAGCTGGGGGCTAAGGTGCTGCCTGGGGGCTAAGATGCTGCCTGTGCCTCTGTTCCTGGCTCATCTCACTTGGGACCCACAGGGTGACTGTTGGCCACTCTAGCTGACACCCAAGGACATTTGACAGGGAAGGGAAAAGAATTAGAGAAGGTGAATGGCATTCTCTAGCACACCTTTGGAGAACTGGAGAGAGCTAGACCTGGGAGGTCTAAGGTCAGAAATGACACCCTCTTCTGTGCATAGCAAAATCAGGCAGGGTTGGGGAAGGGAAAATGGGGGCAAATAGCCAAGTCTGGGGTCCTCTAGTGGACACAGGTTCTCCCTGAAAGTTCTGCCAGCAGCCTGAGGGGGCGCTATTGCTCTGCACCAGGGCAGCTTAGGTGCATGGGGGTTGTTCCCAGTGCTCTCTGGGACTGATTAGAAACCCCAGGAAAAAGTCATCCAGACTGATGTCACTGGAATGGTCTTTCTATGACCTTTGTCCTGGAAATTTCCTGCACAGGAAATTGCCAGGTCCTGTGATGCAACGCAGAAAATCTCCTCAATCCCCTGCTCTTGTACCAATAGCTGGTAAAAGATGAAACTGTAATAATCTGTCATCAGTGTGGATGCCTCTTTGAGTCGCGGTTGAGTCCACCAACCCCCTGTGATCTCTTCCCACAACTTACATGTCCTCTTGTAACTTGTCAGTAGAGTATGAGGAGGAAATCTCTGGTTTTTCACTGTAAAAATGTGCACCGTTGACATTTGTACATTATCCGGGGGCCCTGAGGTGACCTTTCTAAGGCAGTAGCCTCACCAGCTGAGCAGACTCAGCCAGAGACTCAGCCCCACTCAGGGCTCTGAAAAGGCATTTCCTGGAGCTACTGGATCCTGCCCCCTTGAGTGTCATCCAAGATCACAGCTGGAGGGAGTCTTCACAATCTTGTAAAACATCATCTGCACAAGGTGTGTTTTTATGAAATAAAATAAGGACTATAATGTGTCTCTCTGGTGAGAAACTTGGTCTGAGTTGCACACTTGTGACATAAGTAAGTTTACCTTTTTTGGGCTTATATCACTTTTTTGTGATGTAGTTCTAATAACCAGCATTGCAGCAAATTCAGCAAGAGCTTCTGGAAACCTCTGCCCTGATGCTGCCCAGCTGCACTGGCCTCTCCATGCTCCAGTCTTTTCCTCCCTGCCTGTAGCTCCAGGAGGCAGGGCAGCCAATGCAAATCTTCTCCAGTCCCCGGGGTATGTGTCATAGTCTTGTCTGAGCCCTGAGCCTAAGGGCCTCAAGCTGGTGATTTCCTGAATTTAGAAGAATGGCAGGTGTGGGTTTCAATTTGGAAGTTGATTTTTACAGCTGAGTGTCTTCAAAGGGAGAATCAGTCATGCCCAGTGCACTTGAGCACAGCCCAGTGTCTTGGACTAATTTGCTCTCCAAACAAGGACCAGAGCGCCCCCTGGTGCCAGGATGAATGTCATCCTGCATGTGCCGACAGTCACCAGCATGACTGCTTCTGACCCTGATGGAGACCAGGCCCTGGGTGAGTGTGACATGAGCCCCCTCACCAGACACTTGTAATAACCCATGGCAGCCTCCACTCGTGTCAACTAAATGAGGAAACAGGGAGAGGGTAAGTGATCTTCTCTAAATAACGAAGACCATGATGATGGGTTAGAATTCCCAACCTCAGCGCACTTTATTCACCCTCCTGCCCTACTCCTTATGGAGCCCCAGGTCTTCCCTTTTCCCTTTTTGCAGTCCTCCAGGGCCTTCCTAACAGGACTCTACTTTCTGTATTCAGGAGTCTGTCCTCCCCGCATCTTTCAGTGTACACTGAGATGTTCACAGTGCTGGAGTCTGATTTCCTGTTAAGTATGAGTCTGTCTGTGCACAGAGGTGGGGACACTCTACCTGCTCCCTCTGGGGCAGACAACCCAGATGCTGGGTGGGTGGGACACGAAGACCTGAACTGCCTAGTAGGGCTCCGAGTGTCAGGCTTCTTTCCTAAGAAGTTAGGACCAAGACTCCTTTTCTTACTTGTCAAGGCCAGGGCATTTGGAGAACTGTTAGTAGGAACAGAAACCATTTGTTTTTAATATACAGTCTGAAAAGTGCATGTTCCTCTAATGTCTTAAACAAATGTATTGTCCTCCTGCTCCTGCTGCTGAAAATGTACAATGTGACTCATTGACACATGCTGAGATGCTGCACCTGGACCCCCTGAGAGGCCCCTATAGCCCCTGGGCACAGACACCCCTGACATGCTGCCCCTCCCAGTTGTATGTGAAGAAGTGACTGAGACTGGACAGGGCCACGGCCTTAGGCCCGTCCATCCTGCTCCCAGCTGAGCGCCCCACACAATCCTTCCCCTGAAGCCTCCTCTCCTCCATGTGTCCCTCAGAGTCTCCAGGGGCTCTGGCTCCTCAGGACCAGTCCTCACACCTTCCCATCTGGGTCTCAGTGCAGTGTGTGGCGAGTTGTTAGCACCATCCTGGGAGAACGGACTTTTGCAAAGTGACCTGAGCTTGGGAACTCGGTAAGATCTCTGTATGGAGAATGACAAGTCATCCGACTTCATAACATTTCCTGATGATCAGCCACCATCTAGGTCTATTCTAAAATACAACTTTATGATTTGTCACAAGATTCACAGAAATGACCTTCTCTGAAAGGGATTCTTGTAACACGTGAGTTTTTCACACGGTCATTTGTCGGTCCTTACACTGACTCATAATACAGCTGTGTTGGATGATGGACACTCATCTTTAAAATTGTCACTATATTCAATGTCTTTTGTTTGAGAATGAGATTAGTGTGGTCAGCTGTGATAACCATTCCCCCGTTCTGAGTGGGTCTGCATCTTGGTTTGCCTGAGAGTGGAGATGTCCTTCCCCTACTGAGGCCTCTGCTTCGTGGCTTCTCCATCGCTCCTGTGTCTGCATGCACAGCTGCAGGGCCTGTTGTCTCAGGAAAACTCAGCCCTCCACCTGCTCTGTCGTGTTGTGGTCTAAAGCCACAGGTCACTGTGGAGGATGAAATGTGGGCAGTCTCTGGAGAGATGTGCTACATATACTTCTGAAATTCCCACCACATTTAGGAGACCTAGTATAAAATAATGTAAAATACAGTATATGCACTATTGAATACTTATGGAAATAATTTATTTGATTGAGTTAAAATATAATATAAACTACTTGCATATCATTCTGTAATTTTTAAAATTAAATTTGAACAAACTGGAATATTTAATTTACATATGTGGTTTACATATTAGTTACATTAGTTGAGGTACCCAGTGAATCACACCATCAGTCACTTGGCTTTGAAAGGCAAAGACCCCACCAGACATTAAGGAGAGACAGTTCTCAGCTCTGAAAGCACAAGCACAAGTTTGGTGGCGAGGAGCGGGCACTCTGGGGCCAGAGAATCTGCTGTGCGATCAGTTGTTTCCTAGATCTGAGTTCATGTATCTTGCACATCGCTCTGTGCCTTAGTTTTCCAATCAGTGAAACAGGTGAAATGAGAGCACTTACTCTTAGGGACTGTCATTGAAGTCCCTAATAAATATGCAGTGCTTTGAATGGTTCTTGATATGTGTTAAGTACAAAAGTATTTCTTTTCCTCCTTCTATTAACATCCTTCCATAACTAATCTAATAAAAAGCAAAGACACTGAAGATGGAAGAAAGTAAAATTCTGGATATGAGAGACTGACATGGTTTCCACTTACCAATACAAAACTGTACGCACAAAGACAAGCACACGCACACGCTCACACCCACACATGCACAAACCAACAAAAGCTATAGACAGCAGGAGTAACACCCTCCCAGGCCACAGACCTGTTCACTAGGCCTTTATGTCCAAGGGCAGGATCATGGCACAACTGCCTCATACTTGTCCAGATTCTGTGAGGCGTGTCCTTTCTTCCCCATTGTGACCACCCCATTCTGAGCATGTGTACCTCGTCCTGCAGAATCTGCACCCCTGCCCTGCCCTAGGCTGAGCTAGTGTGTGTCCTCTGCCCCCTGCCAGCTGGGCAAGTGAGGCCTAGGGGGCGCAGCATGGGCTGGTGTCACTGAGGCAATGGGAGCTGAGGTACAGGTAGCAGAGTCACCTGATTCTGGTCCTTCCCAGTTGGGCCACAGAAGGGCAGAAGGCGTCAGGGGCTCTGAGGGATCCAAGGGCACAGCAGAGCTGAGCTGGCCAGAGACCAGGAACTGCAGATGGAGAAGAGAGCAGTGAGTGTCCTGAGGGCTCCTCCAGGAAGCAGCTGAGGAGTCCCCTCCCCCCGGAGACAGGTGACCATGGGTTTGTCTCACTTATGTCCTGATGGGAGGCCCCAGAGGCCACCTTGTCACCTGTCAGAGATTTTGTTACTGTGTGATGATGAGACAGCAGGATGGAGCCAGGGACAGTCATTTAGGGAGGGTTAGGGTCCTTGTGGGCCTTCAGTACTGCCCATGATTGATGATTGATGTTGAGAGCTTGACTGATGTTGAGAGCTTGGTGGTGTAACCTCCACCTGCAGTGTCCCCAAGGAGAGGGGGGTTGTGACCATGGAGGAGACAGTGTTGGGAGTTCAATTGGGTGGACTAGATTTCTGGTTTTCCTGGTCTTTATAGGTTTGGGACATCTGGATGCAGCTGCTTACAGGGAGATGCCATGTGAGGCATGAGCAGAATCTACAAGCTGAGGAACCACAGCAAAGTAGCAAGAGCTGAACAGAGGCACGGAAAAGATTTTCCTCAGAGTCCACAAAAATCTGAACAAAACAAAACAGAAAACTAACCCTTCCAATAGCTTGATCAGATATTCTCTTCAGGAATGTGTCAATGTGTCTCTCTTGTCAGCCATTGGTGTGTGGTTCTCTGTTACTGCAGCCCTTAAAAGGACACTTTTTTTTTTTTAAGTTTGAAAATAGTAACTTATTGTGATTTTTTTTTATTTTTAGGTTTTTTTTTTTATTTTTTACATCATTGTTCATCTTAAAACAATATTTGCTTCCCCCTACCCCCCCAAGTGTAGTCCCATAGTTTCTTGTACCAAGGCACCTGTACACCATCACCTCAGTCCCCTGTGCTCCTCCCTCCCTCCCTCTGATCCCTCTCCCTCCTCCCCTATAATATGGCTCTGATTTATAATTGTCTCTTTTGCTTTGTTATGTTCGTACTGTTATTTTTTTGCACTGATGTCTTATTTGGTTTCCCTATATTCCTGCTATACGGGAAACCATCCAATATTTTTTTCTTTTTCTTTTTGACTTATTTCACTGAGCATAATTCCTGAAAAGGACACTATTGCCCAAAGATCTCTGCTCTCAGGGTATCAGCAGTTTCTCCTTCCAGAACCTTCAGTCCCTGGCATCACCAGCTTCCGGCTTGAACCTACTGCCATGTGCTTCCCTCCCCTCCAGTGTCAGAAAGCAAACTGTCCTCTATGGCCCTGAGTATCTGGCCCATCTGTGGTCACAGTGTGACTGGGGTCACAGTGGGGCTCCATACCCATGGTCTCCAAGGTCCTGTCCTGTCCCACAGAACGTTCGTTCATTTCCATGTGAGTTGTCAGCATGACTGTGAAGAGTCATCATTAGTTTCTTGGGTCCTGTGCTCACTATTGATGTCACAGAAGTGAGTTTCCATGTGACTGACGTGTCAGGAGAGGTGACTTTGTGCTCAGGGATTACCAAGGGTGACCTGTGCTAAAGAATTTACTGTGAGAATATTCAGTAGATTATCTCACTGGGTTGTTCATGTGGGTGGATCCATGGGGATGGGACTTTGTAATAGAATAGTGAAGGACAATTTTGTGATAAAGAGTTTGACAGCAGTTGCCAGGCAGCTAAGAGCAGGGAGGTGAGCTATTCCTTGGAGCTGGAGGGGGAGGCAGGGATTTTCTAGAGGAAAAGACATCCAATTCTTGCTGTGGGTGTCACCTGGCATTACTCCCACTCCCCTATTTCATTATGAGAAGTGACTTTCTTCTTTTCCTCATTTTCTGTTGCTGAAGGTTTTCTGAATTCTTGGATTTGTGCTTTATTGTTTCCACCAAATTCTGAATATTTTTAGCTATTTTTTTTTCCAAGAATTGTTCTACTCACACACCCCCAACCTTCTCTCCTTATCACCTCCAATTACATACAATCATCTGAATTAGCCCCATAACTCAGGGATAATCTGCTCATTTATTGCATTTTTCTGTATTTCATTTTGGAATATTTTCTACAGCTTTGCTGTCATTTTCACTCTTCACTGGTAATATGATCTGATCTGTTGTTACTCCAGCCACGGTATTATTTAACTGACCTCAGTTATTGTGGTTTTACTTCAAGAAGTTCAGTTTGATCCTTTGCCAGGTATGTTCTGTGTCTCCACTGAGCAGTTTCTCTCACTCTCCTCCACTCACGTCTTGGAATATAGTGAAATCATGACAGTCACAAAAGCCACAGATCTTCCTCTCAAAGCACCGCTCTCATCTACGCCACCAAATATCCTCGTTTTTTTCTTCTGCCTCTTCTCCGTAAGTCTCTCCTCAGTTTGTTATAGAGCAACCCCGATATTAAACGGGTTCCTGGCTGTGGGTCTTCACCCGCGCGCTTTAAAGGGACTTATGAATACTCTACTACAGACACACACAAAAAGGTTAATAAAAAGTTTATTTACAAGAGGAAAGGAAATAAGGAAAATGTACAACTCAGGGAGAAAATAGGGAAATGAATTCTTTAATGCGTCCTACCCGATCTGACGACCTGGAAACCCAAAGTCACTCTCAGAGCTGGCCGGACGCTGCGAGCTGGTGGAGAGCCCAAAATGGGGTCCTCCAAAGCCCACGTGTCTGCCTTTTGTATCCACCTGGCTGCTTAACCCCACCCTCAGGTCCCAGCCACCTTCCCTTTGGTGGTGATGGGATTTGGAGTTCCCAGTGTCTTTGGCTTTGGCCTGGGGTGGGGGTGGAGTCCACAAAGCCTATATGGAATTTGCTTTGGGACATCCTTTTCCCCCTAACAATTCCCCCCTTTCACTTTTTGCCACCATTTCCATGGTGATGAAGATCGAATATATGGAGGTTGGGATGCAGTCTCAGATGAACATTTTGTCAGGTTCCAGTGTGAAAGAAAACCAGTCTCTCCAGGTATTTGTCCATTGTGGAATGCAAAAGTTCTCCACTCCAGGAAAAATAGTTCATCAGTTCAAGCCAAAAAAAAAAAAAAAAAAAACCATCTGGAGGCATTAGCCAAAACAAGACAGCAGATATGTAAAAATCACAGGGAAAAAAAAAAATCTTAAAATGGTTCAACTGATGTAAAACACAAATTTTCTCAACCATGATCCCAAACTTTTAACAGCATAGCAAAAGTTTGCAAACTAAATCTACTTTTAAATCATTTTTCCTATTTTTGCATAAAATCACAGGGCAGAAAATAACTAACAGCAATTTTTTGCTGGCTTTGTTGAAATACTCCATACAGGATCAGAGCGAACCGGTGGCATCCAGTCGATGTAGGCTTCAGGTATAAAGTTGGTCTCATCAGACTCCACCTGGGCTTTCCTCTTCTCGAGGGTACCAGGGCATTTTCGTTGGCCGGGTTGTCCAGTCCTGCCAATGGAGGCAGCTTCCTCACCTTCTTTGGAGGTCTCTGGAACCCTACAAACAAGGCAAACAGGTTCTCCTCTTCTTGGTTCAGCTCTTTTTCAACTTTTTGGAAGAACTCCACACAAAGCCACACAATCAAACTCACGTCCAATTTTTGTTAAAACAGACAAAATCCCTATGGGAGTTATGCAAAAACAGACTCTAAGATAAGTAGCAAAATTACTACCACTATTTGTATGCTGTGTTGGTATCAAGGGGAGAGAAAATGTGACAAGTTAGCTTTGCTGGAAAAAAAATTGCAACCTTGCTGCAGATCCTGGTTACTCAAAACAAAACAAAACAAAACAAAACAAAAACTTTGTGGATTCAGGACAGAATGCATAGAAAAAATTACCAGTATTATGTCAAAGAAACCTTAGTAAATGTCAGGTGTATTTCCAGGTCTATTCAGTCCTTTGTAGGAAAGTTTTTTTTACTCTCAACAGTTCCATCAACAGGAATCTGTTGAGACCTTTTCTCCCTATATTTCCAGAAACAATTTCTGTAGATGTGAAACAATTGAATTATACAATATTACAAGGTGACAATCACCATTGACAATTTACATACATACCAGATACTGAGAGGTTTTTTCATACACATTTTAGAAAACTACTGTTAACATTTTGTACATACCAAAGTTTTACCATTTTCCCAAGAGACAATGCTTCCCTTCCAGTTTTACTTCATTAGGTAAAAGCCAAATAGAACAAATTCATCTAATGCCTTCCCAGGAGGAAAGGGAGAAACTTTGTGGAGTGTCTCAGGAGCTCTACTGAGGTTCCACAAAATTTCCTTGCATCAGTCAAATGACAGGCTACCAAATTTGTACTTGAATTTAGATTTCTGGGAAGCTTTGCCATAAATATCAGAAAATTAACAGAAACATCAATATTCAGTCTCTATGAAGGCACCGGCTTAGTTCAGTAGCACAATGTTGACAAACCATAACTTTTTTGTTTTTCTCATAACTGGAGACGTCTGTGGGCACCATGTATACCAATTTGTCAATCACTGGAGGTCAAGACGGTTAGACACAAGGACATACAGACAGACAACATATAGACACAAAGAGCTCTTTAGTTACCATTCATCACGCGTGGGATATCCCATACAACTGCAGTTTGTCTGATAGGCCAAAGTAAGAATAAAAAAAACAAGCAGAAAAAAAAAAACTTCAAAGTAAAAAAAAACAAAAGTTGATAGGAAATAACAAAATCAAGATTAAAAACCTTTCTATGTAAAAAAAATACTGGCAGCATATGCATGATCCTAGATGTTATTTCACATCTCCTAAACTTTGAAAGGAAGAGATTGGTTAGAGCATGTTAGTTTTTTTCCCAGGGTTTCTTCAGGAAAAAAAAAAAAAAAAAAAAAAACAAAACACGAGTTCTTGGTTATCCTGCAACAATAACTGGAAAAGAAGTCAGTAACATTCAAGTTTTTTTCTGTTTCTTAAACAAATATCTCAAGTCCTCAATGGGTTCACAAGACCAATGGGACTTCGTCTCTGGGTCAGTTCCTTCTGGCGCTTTCTTAACTCTGGAATGATGTACCCAGGGTTTTATACCTGCAAGTTTCAGAGAAGTATGTGTGCTTAGCAAAACGTCACATGGACCAGTCCATTTTTCTGACAGCTGGTTTTGGGCATCCCCACTCTGCCAGGTCTTCAGTAAGACCTGATCTCCAGGTTTGAAGGGATGCAATGGTTGATCAGGAGGCATAGAGATCCTTGAGTTTGCAAAGTTATGAATTACTGCCAGAACCTACTGGATGTGTTTCACATATTGTGTGATTCGGCAATCTTGAGCTATTTCCGGACTGACTTTCAGAACTGAGGCCTGGAAGGGTCTTCCAAACACAATTTCAAAGGGGCTTAATTGTAGCCCACTTCTAGGTGCCACTCTTATGCGGAGGAGGGCAAGGGATAGTACCTGGTCCCAACGAAGCTGTGTTTCTTGGCAAACTTTTGCCAAGGTTTTCTTTAAGGTGTGGTTCATTTTCTCCGTTTGTCCAGAAGACTGCGGTCTCCATGCAGCATGCAATTTCCAGCTGATCTGTAACGCACTGCTTACTGCATGAGTAACGTCAGAGACAAATGCTGGCCCATTATCACTCTGGATAGAATCCGACAACCCAAAGCAAGGAATTATCTCCTTCAGCAGCTGTTTTGCAACCTCGGAAGCTTTTTCCGTCTTTGTGGGAAATGCTTCCACCCATCCCGAGAACGTGTCCACAAAAACCAATAGGTATTTGAAGTTGCCTGTTATTCTAGGCATTTGTGTAAAGTCCACCTGCCAGTCCTCAAAAGGGCACTTGCCTCGATATTGAACCCCAACGGCTTTAGGGTGGGAGTCAGTCTTGGGGTTATTCCTGGCACATAGTTGACAACCTCGGGTGATCCGTTGTGCTATTCTATGCAAATATGTTCCCTTCAAATATGGGCGCACAGTTTCTAATAAGGCATCTCTCCCATAGTGGGATCCTTCGTGAAGATGTTTTAGCACCGGATATACCAGGGCCTCCGGGAGGAGTATCATCCCATGGGAGTTTACTCTCCAAGTGGAGCTGGGGTCAAACTCAGTAAATCCCCATGCACGAGCTCTCTCCTCCTCCCGCTCGGTGTATTCAGGAGCATACTGAGTCAGGTCCACAAGAGGGATGAGTGCACCCTGGAGGGCAGAACGGGCAGCGGCCTTAGCTGCCCGATCAGCTGCCCTGTTGCCCTTTGCCAAGTCAGACCCACCCTTTTCGTGGCCAGGACAGTGCATCACAGCGACAGCTGATGGTAAAGCTACTGCCTTTAACAAGGCCAGGATTTCTAATGGGTGTTTGACATCCTTGTTACTAGCCGTAAGAAGTCCCCGCTCCTTCCAAATGGCCCTATGCATGTGGAGAATCATAAAAGAATACTTTGAGTCAGTAAATATATTGACTCTTTTACATTTTGAGAGTTCCAAGGCACTGGTCAGGGCTATTAATTCGGCTTTCTG